TGCTGTTTTATATATTAATGACGAAAGTTTTTTTTTTTATTTTTTATCCACGACTGGAAAAGTATCGATTTGATCCCTTCTTCTTTCAGTTTTTATGTTCTGCTTGAAGTGAGTGATTATGATGTTGTTAGAGTAGCTTATGGGGTTTTTGGAATGAAGATTGCCTTATTTTCGGAGGTTTATGTTGTTGCAAAGTGCCAAACATCTGATTGAGGCAAAATACTTTAGGACGATCCGATAGATTTATAATGAATAAGAAGACCGAATGGATTCTTGGAAAGACACAACTTTTCTCGCTTTATGATTGATTAAGTTATGGATCATAAAGTATGATTTCACTGTTATGATTGGGGAACTGTCTATTATGGTTGAATGGTTATTGCTATAATGTGATGCATAAGTGGTATAATCATGAACATTTTGTCTTAACAGTGCAACATTCTCGTGTGATAGCCCCATCGACTGAATAAAGGAGCTTCTTTAGTTTGAATTCCAGAGGATTCTTCATCCTCCCTGGTTTTTTTTTTCTCTCTTCTTTTGTAATAATAGATCCATTTGGCAAGTCCTTTCCTATAAACGCTGTTCAGTATCTTTTCTTTTCCATCATCTAAGTTGCTTTGAAAAATTTGGTAGAAGGGTCGGTCAATCTGTCAGCATATTTCACCATTTCTGTTCTGAAGTGGTCTGAGCATCCTGACAGGACATGGTAGGAAAGTCGAATATGAGACTCAAAAGTCATTTGCAACTTATACTGCAAAAGTTTGACTATGAGAATCGAGTGTGATGAGGTAATGTTTCTTGCACAATGGTGATTTTGATCTTGAGATTTTGCACCTGGAACGTTACAAGGTTGCTTGGTGCAGATAGCTCAGTCTTTAGGACTGTTTGCATGGACATTATTATGTTGATACTCAAATGTGCCCATCATCTGGCATAGAACTAAGTCTTTGCTTGGTTCAGATACAAATTAAATTTTTAATAGGTTTTGATAAAAGTTGATAAAATGTATGGTTGAAAAGTTGTGGCTTCCATGAAATGTATGGTTGAAAAGTTGTGGTTTCCATGAAATGTATGGTTAAAATTAATTATTGACTTTGTACTAGAGGACAGCTCACTTCCAGCTCAGTTGAACTCTAGCTCAGCTCATCTTGGCGCCAAATTCATAGAATTTATTTAGTTAAATCTGTCAGTTTGTTAGTTAGAATAAAGCTGTAAAAATCAGTTAGTTCTAATTGTATTTATACGGACAAGATGTATTCATTTTTCCATTCTAAATAAAGAGATTTCTTCTCTCTAATATGGTATCAGAGCAAGCCTTTATGCTTCTCCTTCGCTGTCTCTGAATTAATTAGCAATGGCTATAGAAAATCCGAATTAATCCGCACGTGATTCTGCATCATCATCCAGCAGTTTCGGAGGTGATGATGGATCAAACCCCTACTTTCTTCACCATTCAGATAGTCCCAATTTGGTGCTTGTTTCACAGCCTCTTACAGGAGACAATTATTCTTCGTGGAGCTGAGCTATGGTAATTGCATTATCTGTGAAGAACAAGTTGGGTTTTATTGATGGATCCATTTCGCCTCCTGAAAATTCTGGTGATCTGCTCAATGCCTGGATCCGCAACAACAACATGGTGATTTTATGGATTCTCAATTCAGTGTTGAAGGAAATATCAGCAAGTGTGATGTACTCTGAGTCAGCTCATGATATTTGGGTTGATCTCGAGAGATATCAATAGAAAAATGGTCCTCGTATTTTTCAATTGAGGGGTGAACTGATGAATCTAACACAAGGCCAATTATTTGTCAGTGCCTATTTCACCAAGCTGAAAACTATTTGGGAAGAACTTAGCAACTGTGGGCCTTTATGTTCGTGTGGCAAATGTGTATGTGTTAGAAATAAAAAGCTTGCAGGACATTATCAAATGGAGTATGTTATGTCGTTCTTGATGGGATTGCATGAGTCCTTTGCTCAAATAAGAGGCCAGCTGCTGCTAATAGATCCAATTCCCCTAATTAATAAGGTTTTTGTTCTTGTTGCACAAGAGGAGAATCAAAGGAAGGTGAATGCAAATGATGATATTACCAACATTAATGAATCGATGGCCTTTCATGTTAAAAATGAGCCCGGAAGTCGACTGCAAGATAACCAATAAACAGGTTTCAAAAAAAGAAAGGCCTAGGTGCACATATTGTGGATACACCGATCATGTTATTGATAAATGTTACAAACTTCATGGCTTTCCTCCTGGATACAAGCCTAAGCAAAGGACTGGAGGATCAAGGAATCAAGCCAATTGTGTTGTAGCAGGTTTGATTTCAAATTCAAATCAAACACAAAATAAGGTTGGGGATTTTATGCAAACATTGAATGCTACTCAATATCAACATTTGCTAAGCATGTTGAACGATCACCTCATTGCTGCAAAGGTTGAAACACAACAGGAAGCTAGTCCAGATCAGATTACACGTACTTGTCTTTGTATTTCATTCAAACCAATGTTAGATTCACCCACAAATTGGGTAATTGATTTTGAAGCTACAAGCCATATTTGCTCAAATGTTTATGCCTTTAATACAATGAGACATGTCCAGAATGCATCAGTGACTCTCCCCAATAATGTCAAAATTCCTGTCCAATACATTGGAAACGTAAAAAATGGATTAGCAAGGAGGATTCCACATCTTAGCAATACTTCTCGCGAATTTAATAAATTTTTACTTTGCTTTCAAGTTAGTTGTCAGATTTAATATTGGTTAGTCACAACTTGATTTTGCTATTCCATTAAGGGTATTATTAATTTTAATTGGATCAAACACATAATTTTTGTGGGTTCGACACTCTATACACTGCTACATGACTTGTTCACGATCACGTTCACTTGCGGGTAATCAAAAGATCAGCAACCAGTAAATCCCAGATAAAAATATGCATTTCTTCTACTGTACTCAGTATTCCAAGCTATCAAATCGAACCCTTGTAGCATGACCCATAAGGTATACTAAAAATAGTAATCGACAATATTAAGAAGAAAGAGAAATTAAAATGCTAAGCTTGTCTGATTACTCAGACCAAATCCCAGGTTTGTCCTGTTGATTGGTGTTTGTGAAAATCCCACAAATGTACGGGTTCGTTGTATAAGTAATAATTGTGATGAAAGAATTATCATATCATAGGGAATAAGATATAATTCTAATGTATTTGATATAATTAATTCGTGCTAGTAACCAAAAGTTGATTTTGTGAATAATTAATTAAGTTCTGTGACTGAAAATTGTAAAATTAATGGAAGTTTGTTTTAAAATTCAAATGAGTGAACGTATTGGATTTTCGACGCCACTGATCCATTCTTGGTTCTAATTCTCAACCAGTTATATTTATCTCAACTCATGCGATTGTGACGATCAATAATTTCACTTTTATTTATTATTCTTTTCCAAAATATAATAAATCTATGATATCCTATTCCTAGTCCGAATTCATATGGCAAACACGAATTGACAAGTAGGACTATCACACATGATCGTACACGCCACAAATATTATTCCTAACATTCATTGTCTGTGTGTTTTGATAACAGTGATCTATCTACTATGAATTTTTTTCTTTAATAAAATTAGGGCCCCACTAGAAATTAATCTTGACACACAACCATCATAAAGTATGTCAATGATAGAAATAGATTTTTTTTGTAGACCAACGATGAGCCTTGTCTTCCGTTCTAGTTTAAATTACTTGGTTTTAATGTTGAAATTCAATTTTCTTATACGTGTGATTTAAGGACATCTACATATTTAATTGTATGTGTAGTATAAGATAATTCGCTTCACTGAACATGGTATAAAAGGGTTATTTACATGATTTGTGCATCTACTTCTACATTATTATTGTACAAAATTAGCACTTTAACCCTTTTTTCCCCCCTTGAAAAGGCAACAATGTGTATACGTTAATGAATAACATAATAAAAAGAAGTTCTCTTCGATGTTAGCTTATTTTCTTTACGAAGTCACAATATTTTTTGCTCTAACTCTCCTAATTAATCAAACAATATAAAGTAAAAACTCTATAAAATAAGAATGTTAAAATTGGAAAAAAAAAAATTATTATTACTTTACATGGATTACTAATTTATCAATAAATAATAATTTACTAGTTTATAAATTGACTATTTGAAATCATTTCTATTCAACATTACGAATACATGATTTATGCTGAGTACCTCTGAAATTATCCTAGTGAAAATGATAAGATGATGGAATAGCCTACCGATGAAGAGAGGCTCATCAATCATGATTTAGAAGGGTCACCGGTCGGTCAGTCTATTAGTGTATTTCACCATTTTTGTTTTGAAGTGGTCTGAGTATCCTGAACAGGACATGGTGTGAAAGCAGAATGTGAGACTCAAAAATCTTTTGCCACTTATACTGCAAAAGTTTGAATATGAGAATTGAGTGTGATGAGATAATGTTTCTTGCACAATGGTGATTTTGATCTTGAGAGTTTGCACCTGGCAGCCAATAAAGCCTAGATAAATTTGCATTTCTTCTACTGTACTCAGCATTCAAAAGCCAACAACGAAGAGTAGTTAAAATGCTAAGCTAGTCTGGTTATTAGGACCAAATCCCAGCTTTGTCTAGTTGATTGGCTAAGCATAGCAGCTTGAAGTGAAGAGCACATGTCACACTTCCTTCATTTGCACTTACACATTGTACTGTCTACTTCTATTTAGTGCTATGTACTAAATATGCACCGAGTGTTCCACTCTGTAATTTGAAGGATTTCTAAGCAACCCAAAAATGATAGAGCTGCTAAAAACATTTGACAGTGATCAACTGAAATTTTGATAATTTTTATACTTGATATTCCCTGTTCCCAGTTTCCTTTCTGATTTCAAATTGAACACATTATGTTTAAAATTGTATGCAGGCAGGTTTGAAAAGAAAACTAAAATAATAAATATAACTACAAAATAGAGAAAAAAGAAATAACTGAAACTAAGCTTCTACCTTCTTTTCCTCCTCTTGATCTGCAAGATAAAACTTCAGAGCATCGCTAATGTCTTCAATAGAATCACACCCTTCAAAGAATTTAATCAACTTCTTCAATTCCCCATCTTCAAGATCATCGACAATGGGTCGAAATGGAATGGCATTATCGGGCTGAAGCACGTATGAATTTGGGTTGTCATTAACGATGGCCACTCACCCTATATCCCTCCCTATAATAGACTAATCCTTCACGAATATCCCATTGACTTCCTTGCATGAATCCCGGTACAGTCTATGAGATATCCAGGATCTCCAGTCCAACCTGTCGAGCACGAGTGAAGCATCCTCGTAAATCCCTGCAGTGAGCACCACAATCCCAAATCTCTGGCTTAAAAAATCCAAAAATTCATCTACAAATGGCCTCCTCAACACGTAGAATTCGACCTTTTCTCCATCAAACACTGGCCTAACAATGAAATTGTACTTCTCTGGAGGCAGTTCTGGCTTGAAATGCACCAAGGTTTCGTCTAAATCGAGGAAAATAGTCTTCTTCTTGGGCGAAAGCAACGGTGGCAGAGGAATCATATCATTAAACATTGATCTTCGGGTAGAATTTGGCGGGTCGGCATGGTCTTTCTGAAGGATTTGATACCTTTTCTTATGTGGTGTTTTCTTCGGGGGTGGCAACGCAAGCTACTTTTGTGAAAATTTTGATAAGGCGGCGCTGGCAAGCATAAATAGACTTGTTGATATAGAAGCAAACACCACAGAGGCGGAGGCGGTGGCGGTGGCGGAGGCATTCTTGATGGGTGACCTCTTCTGGCTACGGCAGCATTGCTGAGTGAGCTTTCTCCTGTTCTTGATGGATTTTGTGGGAGTTCTCTTCACAATTTTTGACGCCATTTACTTAAGAAAACACAAAATCTGAGAAAATGGCACAAAGTTTTCAAGAGGAAAATGGGGATTGGGGGACCATACGTGATCCTGTTTGAAATATGTTTTTCAAATTTATGGACATTAGTCCAAGTATAAAATCTAGTTTCACGGAGCTAGATACGTGAAGGTCAAGTGATTATTTTATGCAAATGTAAATAATTTTCGTAATTGTGCAATTGTAAGCGTTGAATATCAACTTGCATCTTTTTAAAGAATGAGTCTCAACTTGCTAGTAATCCACTAGATTGGGAACCAATTGTGCAAATTTCCTTCTTTTTGTTAGGACTGGACAAAAATCCCAAATTAAATCAGACCCATTCCGAACTGAACTGAATCGAGCGATTTTTCTTATCTTAGATATTCAAATGTGTATCTGAATCAAGAACTGACAAATTTTGTTTGGTTCTCAATTCTAGACCAGAACCTAATAATTGAATCTGCTCATTTTTTCAAAATTTATTTATCTTAAATGAGCCAAATTATATTTTTTAAATAAATTTGCTAACTAATTAATTTAGCTCAAACCCTAAATATAATTTTCCTATTTTTAATTTTACCCAAATCTATTATTCTACAGTAGTGTCGTTTATATAGTTTTAGAGAAATTGAATTGAAAGATCGACTATATCTTTCTTCATTATTATGAGCTCGCTATTTTCTTCTTTATGTGATTTTAATAATCAAATTTATGAAGAACTCAAAAAAGAGAGATGCAAATAATATAAATAAGATTAGACTACGTCATTTTGTAAGAGTTAAAATTGCACATATCATTAGTTGAATTAATATAACGTCGTTGTAAATATTAAAAATTTTAATTATTGCATGACCGATTCGAATCGATTCAAACCGAACTAAACCGAATCCGAACGATTACATAATTATATTCAAACCCGACGGTTTTATTTATTAAATACCGAAAATTCGAGTTCGGTTCGGTTCAGTTCTCTTTTAAATTACTTTGGGAAGATATTTCATATCTTTCGAGATCCTCTATATTCTTTATATCTTTTTGAGATTCACTCTATTTTTGAAATTTATTTCTTACAATGAGCATATATAACATGAACGGACATAAATTCTCGAGTTTTTATACGGCATCAATAAGATTGGTGAACAGTGGAGACATTTCAGTATAAGCCTTTTTTGCAGAAAGCAAATTAGCTGCCTCAGTAGGATGGAATCCATCCCAAAACATGTAGTCGTCTCTGTTATTGCATGTAATAGCTCCGGCAAGACAACGTCCAGTATCCGAGAGAGCACAACATGGAGTGCTCAAATTTGTGATGTTTCCTGTGATAATGTAGTAACGACAAATCTAATCAAACGATTTTTGTTGAAGACTAAATTTAAATAAATTAATGTCATCATGACATTCAGAAAGTTAAACACATAAAAGTAGGGAAGTAGAGGCATACCATATGAATCGGTAGCAGTGTTTGTGTATATGAAATTTGCATCTGCGAAACGATAGTTGAAATGATCAAGAAGTTGCTTCAGTTTGTCGTTGAATAATTTGGCTGCATTATTGATTGTTTCTATGCAAAACGAGTCATTCGAGCCATATGAAGCTACCTCTGCTGGACAACAGCCTAATTGGCCAAGTGCAAGTACAGCTACTTTTCTTGCTCCATATTTATACAACTTCTGCAATAAAGTAAACGTACGTGTAAAAGTAAAGCAGAAACGTGTTTGGTATATTGAAGTGAACACGATTGTATAGAATTAACGAAAAATTGCAGGCCCAGTCTTTAAACTTCGACAAATAAAGCTCATGAAACTCCCAATAAGTTCTTTGCAGACTTTAGTCACAACATGTAAAAAGTGAAAGAGAAAGAAATGCTCACTGTTAGCTGTTTAGAGTACTGTCTGATAAGAATTGCAGCGAACTCCTCTGGTGTATATAGGCTGCTTGAAGAGTAGAATTGTGGCAAGTAGTAATTGTTTAGGTAATCGTTATTGCCCATCACAATTGTATATATGCACTTGCTTAGATACTGTTTTGCAAATTTTTCACCTCCAACTAAGGCAGCAAGCCTTGACTTCATGACTCTGTGATTTACTAATTGCTTGTTCAAGCTGATCACAGCACCCTTCAAAGTAACAAAAAGTAATCTCTTTTATAAATATATGCTCTATTTAAGGCTATATATATATATATATATATATAGTAGCAGTGGTTTCTGTTTCTTTTTTGTGTGTTTTTTATTTGTAGTCTTTTTCACTATAGTTAATTAAGAAAAAGATTAAAGGATCATTTAACATATTATACATCAAAGATTAGCCTCCTAAAATTCTTCATGATGGGGTGATGTAATATGTGTACAATACTCAATATGACAACAAAGGTCGCACTCATAGAGGATAACTGGATGAGTTATAATATAAATAGATTCTGCACAATCATACCATCTTCACGACTCTATGTGTGTGTGTGTGAGTAAGAGAGACAGAGAGAGAGAGA